ACATTAAGTATTATTTTCTGGGAGCACATAATTAAAAAAAACTTCACCCTGTATCAAATAAATTTAAAAAGGAAACACGGCGATGGAATAAAAGTTTCACTTTAAAAAAAATGACATAAATTGCAATTTTCACAAACAAAATCGCATAACTCAAAAACAAAACAAAATGTCGTTCTCAAAATACGATCACATTTTTTATTTTACTTTAATTTATATTAATTGTTATTTTCTGGAGACAAATGATTTTAAAAAACCGCTTGGTTCCATACTTTATATTCACCCTGTATAAAACGAATTTAAAAAGAAAACACTCAGCAGGATACTAATTTTTTGAGTCGGGCTTACGAATTATCGGTTTTCTTTTTAACCTATTTTTCTTAAACTGTCCAATTTTTAACTTGACCTGAAATTTTTAATGGAAATTTGTGATTTAAAAAAATATGCACAAATATGCATTTTTTAATTGGCTTATTTTAATCAAAAAACCTTAGATATGCATAGAAAACTTACAATTTTGTTGATATACCTCTTAATAACAAATACGCATTTTGCATATAATCCGAGCCTTATTAACAAAAGTCAAAATTTTGACATCTTAATTTGAAAACATAACCATAATTTTTTAACAAAATTTCTAGGGACAAAGCTACTACCAATTTTTTCACCAAAATTTTGACTTGGTAATTTTCATTAAAGGAAAAAACAAACTTTAGTCACAAAGATCCCTAAATCCTAGATAGTAATTTCTTGTTGATACGACAATACTAAACACTGCAATTTGGGACAAACACTAAAGCATTAATTGTTAAAATTTCGGTGTTCGATTAGAGGGTGACAAACGTGTAAAAAAGTGTATTTTTTGTTCGTCTGGAACAGCTTTTATTTGCAAAACACCTCGGAAAGTTTTTGAGCGAAATTTGCCGTTTTAATCCGATAATGGTTTGTGGAGGTAATTACGTTGTTTTGTCGTTTTATTTGTCAAAATTCAAGAATTGAAATTTTATCATCGTGTTACTAAGTTTTCATTTAAAATTTAACCTCGAATATGCTCTAATATAAATGAAGTTTGTTGGCGGCAAGCCAACAGCGAGATATTTGAAAACTGCCACGCTAATAGTCGGCGCTTTTCTTACATTTTCTCGATTTAGACACTTGTCTTGCGGTATGAATTAATTAATTTAATTTCTCTCCCCCTCTTTGAAAAAAAAATAAAAATTTAATGAACATGTGTTCTAATTGGTTTGATTCAGTCCCCCCCTGGATCCTCGGTATTATCCAAATAGCACTTTTGTCACCTTACGACCCTCACAAAAGGGATACTTTTATTCCCATTTCTTTTCTCTTCCCCTTGGCTCTCAAACACCGAAATGATTAATTAATTTTATCAAAAATTGTCTTAATTTGAGACGATTTTTGGCATATGTGTAATGAAAAACATTCGAAACACTAAAGCAAATAAATAGAAGAAGAGTCTGAGGGTAAAAGCATTGTGTAAACGTGGTGAATGAGCTTGAAGAGCTCTGCGCAACCAATTATTGTACAGATACAGGATAAACAGCGTCAAAGAGTGTCCACGAAGGGTGAGAGAGGAGGGGGTCGTTCTCTTCGCGCACGACATACGAATCAATAAAAACTGACACTTTTTTTTACCCCATATACACATCGCTCACGTACGAATATATACTATATGGAATTTGATTTTCACAGTTTTTCTTTTTGGTAATTTGCATTTAGATGCGTTAGAAATCGAACGCTTTGTTCATAAATAAAAAAAAATTGAATATTCATAAAGCACGCAATTAATGACACAATTCAATTTTTGCTTTCTAAACTTGTACAGGGTGGCCCATGTAAGACTTTCGGGTCTAATACCTCTGTTATTTGCCAATGAATTTTTATGAATCTCCACCTTAAATATAATTTTATTCGTAGAAAATTGACTCTAATTTTGCAATTTTCTATTTTGTTTAGCTAGAAAACGCTTAAATCCATTTAAAAAATTACGCATTTTGGTTACGTTTTTGTACCTTTTTTGCTTTGTTTTGACGAAATCTGTAAAATTTTGAGTTTCTTGGTGGAAAACATTCTAAAGTTATCAAAATCGGCGAAAATAACGAATTCTTGACCTACTTTTCGTCTTATTTAATAATAACGCATTTCATCTTAATATTGCAGTTTTTATTCTTTTTTTTTGTAAAATAGTTCGTATTTTGCGTTTTTCTTATTGAATTTTTAAACATAATTTGGTAAT